AAAGGCAGACCACATTTTGGAAATGGCAGGACAAGGAAAATTTTGTGATTATTATCTCTAGAAATTTACTTCTAAAATTTGGTTGACAAATAAACGCAGCAAATTATATCAAAAATCAAGACGACATTCAAGTCGTCCTGCATACTGTCATGTTTCGTGGGACACCCTGTATATAAAAAATTGAGTTTGTTGCTAAGACCCTCCGTCATGTATGTCCAAAATAGATTTTAACCCTCCACCGAAAAAATGCTTTTTAAAATTAATTAGATCCTTTTCCCCCGATGAAATTGTAAATCTATTTTAACAACTAATCCATAATCAACTAAATCAACATTAATTCTTTAATTTTTGCTAACTTTTTCTCGTAGTTTTCTTCATTTTGCTGAATAAAAAATCCATCCCGTCAGTGTAGACATTTTAAATTAGGGCAAATTTAACAATGAAATAAAGTACTTACTTAGATAAATAAAAGTAAAAGGCGACCTTTAAAAAACTGTGAAGATGATATAAATGCCATTTTTGTGTACTTCATGTTGTTACAAAGATAATTTATTACCACTTACAATTGTAGTTTAAAAATGAACTAATTATGTGAAATGGTACTTCGCATTTGTTGTATTTTGTATTCATTGGACTTTTTTAAGGTATAACTTTTCTGTATCAAGATTAAAAACAATGATAATGTGAAGTTTTGAAAAGGAATTTAACTTTATACTTAAGTTTTTTAAATGTCGTCCCATCAAATCAAATTTATTTTGTGGAGATTACTGGTTTAAATTGTTTTGTTTTTTAACTTGAGCATGTACTGTCAGATGAGAGATTTAAAATCCGTCCTAGTCCTTCACTCTCTTCTAGTTCTCCTAGTTCTTCTCATTCTTCTCCAGGATTCATCCTCACACTCAACTCCAACCCGGAGACGGTTTGCTCAGGACAGGGTTCGCTCTAACTCTATCCAGAGCTACGTATCACACCTCAGAAGATCTCAGGTTGGAACATATTTTTAATAATAACTTTAAATTATCTTTATCCTAAGTGAGTCTGATAGAAATAAAATAAAAGGACAAACAAAATCATAAAGTAATATAAGTTGAAATGATTTGTTTGATTTCGTCTCTGTGTGATAAATAACTTTTAGCCTTAATTTTACCCGTTACTTGTAGAATTAGTTCAAATTTTGATGTTTATTAAGAAAAATTGATACTTCAGATGCGATTAAATTTTATAACTGGTTTAAACTCGAAGAGTTCTATTAAAGTTAACACCTCAATGCATCTCAAAGTCCTTGAGTTTTGTTTCCTAATTGCTGAACCACGTCCAGCCTACAAAAGAAGTAGTTGAATCAGCCTTGCAAAGTTAAACTGCATTTCTTTCTCATTCATAAATTTCATTCTGAGGCATTCATTAAGTCAGCTGGTAAATATAAGAAATTTCATATTTTCTTGGCTCTACTTGTTACCGGGTTACCCACAAAGAATGAGACTTCAGAGACGATTGTATTGAATTTATCTCTTTGCCAAATTATTAAATAAGCCATTAGATTATTATATCTAAGGCAGAATACTTTGGAACTTGTTTTTTAAAACAAACCCCTACTTCCACCTTCGAATTGATATAATTATAGAGTTTAATGTCGTCAATCACGTCTCATTCTTTAAGGGTAACCCTGTAAAAAGTAAAATCAATGTGTGACGTGTGTTAAGAAATATCCTCTCCGCTCTCCACTAAACGCTACTATATCTTCGGTCAGTGTACTTTAAAATAGCTGCAGTACACACCGAAAGCTTAGTTGAGAGTGGATCTCAATCATCTATAAATATTTGTTTGTAGAGAAGAGAAGAGGGCGGATCCTACCTTAGTTGCAGTTCCTCCTCCCCCTCCCTACAGATGGTTAAGTTTCTGGATAAGATCTGTGAGGACTGTTATTATCTATACATGGAGGCAGAGATACGTTCCAGCTGCAGGTCAGATACACAGTACCAGGGAGGATATAACAGGGGAGGGTGGGGAGATCGGTGGGTAGACGGGAGGTAAATGATTATGGACGGGAGGGGATCTAATACAAGGCGGGTAGAAGGGAAAAACATACATGGTTATAGACGAAAAGGAATGGGGGAGATAGACGGTGGGTAGAAGGGAGGTACATACAGTGAAACACTTAATAACGAATACATCGAAAGAATTTATCAAATGTCGTATTCTTCACTTTCTGATAATGGAATGTTGCAAATATATAGTTTTTTAATTAAATGATTATATGGAACTCTTTAAAACTGTTCCCGCATATTCATGGCTATTTATTTATTTTCGCAAATACTGAAATTTACGTTATATAGTATAAAACTCATTGAAAAATTGTCAAGACGACATTTGATAAATTCTTCCGATGTATTCGTTGTTAATGGTTTCACTGTACATGGTAATGAACTTAAGGGGAGGGGGAGATACATGGGGCGATAGACGGTGTGTAGAAGGTATGTAAATGGTTATGGACGGAAGGGGATGTGGGGATAGACGGTGGGTAGAAGGGAGGTGCATACCTGGTTATGGACGGAATGGAATGATGGGGGAGATAGACGGTAGGTAGAAGGGAGGTACAGGGTGTCCCAAAAAACATGGGAATTTAGTGACGAATTGGATATCGTGTTTGTTATGAATTAGCATTGTAATACCTAATTTCAAAAGCCATAATATTATTATGTCTGCTAGAGTTTATTTTATGAAAAGGGTAAAAGGCTGTAAAGATGTCTCTATAATGTATCCGCCAGATGAACAGTGAAGACTGACAAGTTTACTCTGTTTGTGTACTGTAATTTTCTTGTTTTACTAAGTACAACCGTATGCAGTCAAAACATAAACAAACAATGTGAACATAGCAGACGAAAATCCTACGGATTTCAGCTTTCTCAGTCTTCTCAGTAGGTATCACAATAATAAATCAAAGAATTATTTAAAAAGACGATATCGAATTCGTCACTGAATTCCCATGTTTATTGGGACACTCTGTACATACATGGTTATGAACGGAAGGGGAGGGGGGAGATACAGAGCTATAGACGGTGGGTAGAAGGGATGTAAATGGTTGCGGACGGAATTGGGAATGGGGGAGGCTCAGTTACATTAGCCATAAGTAACAATTGCCATAATTACAATTTATTATAATTATAATTAACATCCATACATTTTTTTATTGAACAACTACAGAAGGTCAAGCTACCGCTCTATTTGAAAAGTATTGTATTGTCATTGATTCTTCACCAAGCTCTTTCTTCCACCATTAACGTGTTCATATCTCTCCCGAGCTGAAAACTTTAGAATGTGATATCCTTAATCCCGATCTGTTAATTAATCTGAGCTGGGAACTTTTGAATGATTGATATCGGGATTAATGCTTGATCAACTCTTTTTCTTAATCTCGAGATTAAATATTGCTTGTTCTCCTCTCGTTATTAATCTCCAGATTAATTAACCGATCGGGATTAATCTGGAGATTAAATTCATGAGGAGAAGAAGCCAGCTCTGAGCTGAAAATTTTAGAATGGTGGATATCGGGATTAAGGCTTAATCCACTCTTTTTCTTAATCTGCAGATTAAAGATTGCTTGTTCTCCACTCATTTTTAATCTCCAGATTAATTATCTGATCAGGATTAAGGATATCCCATTCAAAAGTTCCCATCTCAGGCAACATTGTTAGAAAACTTAAGTTGGGAATTTTCATGAGAAAATTTAGCGTTCATAGAAAAAACAGTTAGATTTATATCTTTGTAAAAGACGGTAAATTGACGGTGGGTAGAAGGGGGGGCATACAATATACATGGTTATAGAAAGAAGGACAGTAGGAGAGGGGAATTACAAAATGAAAGACGAGGGGGGGNTATATTCTATTTTTAACATGTTAAACTCAAAAAGACTTTACAACTATACTCTGTTTAAAAATAAAAACACAAAAATAAGATTAATTTCAGCTTGCTAGAGAAGTTTATAAGAAGTTATTAATGGAATAAGCCTGACTTAAGCCAAACAATACACATGAGAGGAGATGGGGGGACATTTAATAATTGTTTACATTTCCTTATATTATTCAATAATATGCTTAGTATTCTACCTATAATGTAGACATCCCATTTACCAGCTGAATCTCCTTGGGTTCGCTGTGTCACTATTCTACAATGATTAGATAACATTTATATAGAAGAAATAGAAAAATAAGTTTGTCAAGTTTTAGACAATTCTATTCTATAAGATCTAACCTAGACCATCCTTCTGGAAGCGTCGGGTCAACCAACATAGGATTCGTCATTTCCGACATTTTTATCACTTCAACCCAAACTTTATTCTATTTAAATCTAGATTTTAGATATAACGTCAGGACATCTTGCCCACAGCCGTACACAAATAATTTCAAAACAAGGAAATATGGCGGGATTTGGAGAGTGGCGCATGCGCAAGAAACAATTTCGTTTCGTCTTTGAATCCTTTGAATATTGAAAAAAGTTTTTTTATCGCAGAAAAAACAAAAATTCTTCTTTCTGCTGAATTATATTTTATAATCTTTATGAAATTTAAATTCTTTGTTGATGTGTTAATGATAAAATAAAAAGTGCGCAAATATTTTTTTCAAAAAATGGATATGCCTGAATGTCGTCTTCTTATTGGTTCAACTTGTCTTCAGTCTTAATTGTATTAGGCTTTTGTGCGTAATCTGAATGCAGTTACTAGATGCACTTTATGGAACTGCAAGAAATGCACCTTCTAGGTCCTGTAAAGAGACAAAGAAATGCCAAACCTGTAAAGGGATAAATATTTTTTTAAGGACAATTGTTTTTATTTTATGAAAACAAAGTTTTTTTTACAGTCGAATTGCTACGTAATTGGTATAACACATAATGTAAAGTTAAAAATTTACTCATTGGGAAATTTTGATGTCAAAACCACAGAACCAGCTTATAGTTTATTTTTATGCATTTCGGAGAAAAATGAACAAAAAGCAATCAGTCCTTAAAGATACCCAGAGAAGGAGAGAGTCCTTCCACCATTTTCTCATTTCTGTGAAGTTTTTTTCATAGATTTTTACTATTTTTGTTAGCAGTTTTATTCCTTCTGGAAAACTGTTATTATTCTTGTAAAGCGTTTTCACAATTGAAGTCGAGGAAGGAACGTCAGTTTCATCTTTTTGATCGCGAGCTTTAAGAGTTATGAGAAATAATAGGCCTAGAAATTTTAGAATTGTTACTCTATAATGGGAATATTTTTTTTTTAAGTGAACAGTAGATAGATATATGCCTCATATAAAGGAGAGGGGTCGTTTAAGTGTCGAGAATTTCCCGCGAAAGTTTGAAAAATTTCCCCAAAATTAAACAATAAGTCAAAGTGTATTTTATTTAAAATTTCAGTTGTGTTATTTTGTTTATAATGTATACAGGTTTCTGAACATGCTGTTAAATCTACCCCCGGAGTTGATCCATTCCATTCTAGTTCTCCTTAATCCAGGAGATCTGAGAAACCTTATCCTAACCTGTACTCAGCTCAGGGTACTATTAGATCATCCGGACTACTGGAGAACCACAACAGTAAGGTGAGAATACTGCTAGATCATCCAGACTACTGGCGAATTGCACAACAGGTCAGACAGGACATAAACTATAATAGATCATCATCTAGAGGAATAAAGTAAATAAAGCTTGAATTTGGTTTCAGAAGCTCTAGACTAAAAATTGGATGCTGTGCTGAATTCGTAGAAATTCCAAGGGGGCATACAATATACATGGTTATAGAAAGAAGGACAGTAGGAGAGGGGAATTACAAAATGAAAGACGAGGGGGGGGGGATGAGAGGAAAACGGACGTATAAAAAATGCAAGTTATATACAGGGTCGTCTTTACAGTCTCATCATTTGTGGATAAACCAGTATAATTCAAAATGTATTGGATTGTGTTTGCATTGGAAACATTAAGAACTAACTAACTGATGATTCGAAAGATCCATCTTTTTTAATGCAGTTGGTATTGTATCCATCCAGTGATTACGTTAAACGTTTTTCCTTTATATTTTCTCCAAGGATAAAAATATTGTAAAGTTTAACAGAAGCAAACTTGATAAGAAAACAGTTTTGAAATTTTGTAAGTTTAATAAAAAGTTCTTATTAACGATTAACAATTTTAATCATGATACATTTTTTCAATTTCAGATCTCGATGCTTCACATCCCGGTATATGGAAGGATGTCTTATACTGACGATGGTTAATACTACTTCAAGAACTCTGGCCAAGAAATATATTTCACATTTAAACAATTAGTTCTTCTTAGTCAATAGGCTTTTAGAATCCAGAGGTCGTTACTTATGAATATTTAGGAAAATGAAAAACTATTTTTTAAATTTAAATTGTTCAAACAAATTTATTTCATCCGAGCTGCAAAAACTTTAGAATTGTGGAAATTTAGATCAATGCTTGATCTCTTCTTTTTATATTTATCTTAAGATTAATTTAATCTTTAACTTGTATCCTGAAAAATGTGTAAAATTCAACCAATCAAGTGGCGTATGCAAAATCCAGCTCAGAGCTGGGAACTTACTCATAATCCCGATATCCACTGTGGGTACTCATAGTTTTAGGATCAATGCTTAATCTCTTCTTTACAGTTATCCCTTTAAAGTACAATTACACTGCAGAATATCGAATAAAGATTTAACAGAAGATTGAGATCAAGCATTAATATTGATATCCACAGTACACGAGTTCACAATCTCAAATAAAATCGTCAAATCCACTTTACTAATCAAAACTGATCGGGCATAACAAGCAAGAATAAAACCTAAATACCACACACTCGGATATTCTTTCAAAACCATCAATACTGTCCCGGGCAATTTTTCTTAAAATAGATTTTATCCAAAATTTGGTCCAGACAAAAAACCTTAATCCAAAATTTTAAATCTCCGCCGAAACTGGGAATATCTTTGACCCGTAACCATGTAACGCATGGAAAAAAGATTCACGCTTATTGAAAATTAAATACATTTTCTTAAATTTAATCTCCCAAGCATAAAGTAAACCTGAGATTTGCATGAAGTGAGTATTGACTATAAACTGAAAGGGGTAAATTTAGAATGAGGAACTCAAAATAAATTTTTAGACCTCTATTATTTTGTCTCTGTATTTCTATTAGTACAGTAAATTAAATATTTGTAGTATATTTAATATTAATTTATTTATCATAAAACCAATTTTATAAAATAAACTATTTTCATTCATTGATTAATTACTCTGAAAACAGTATTTGTACTAAACTACAGGCGCAGATTGCTTTCACGGGCAATTCAGTTTTGGAAACATTGTAGATTAATTTTCATATTTTTACATGCTTACTATGTACACTGTACAATTTTCATGGAAGAAATAAAATATACATACATGCTTGAAATTATTGGAAAACTTCAATTTTAAGATTTTAAATTTTAGTATTAAATTAAAACCGACGAAAAGTGATAAAAAGACATGGTTTATCATATTCGTATCGTAATAAAACTTATAATTTATATGATGTTTCAAAATAAAAATTTTAAATAATCTAGAATTTTAAAACTAAACATGCTGTTTGTCTTGATAACATGCCCGTCAACAAATTAACATACGTTTACTTAGACTCTACTTTTTTGAAAAAATACATCATGGTGCGCTGGCTTTTATCAAGAACTGAATTTTTGGGAGATTTCCCAACAGGAACCTTCCGAACTTTGGGAGATTTTTCAGTCACAGCTTTCTTCGGTTTCGGAGATTTGCCAGCGAGGGGTTTCTCGGATTTCTTCGTTTTTGAAGTGTTAACACTCTTCTTCGAGTCTTTCATTGAAGATTTTTTGTTGGGTGATTTAACTAGACTTGATTTTTTAGTGGCCTTGGATGGAGATTCCGAAGCTTTAACCGGTGATTGGGGTACTTTGGTTGGCGATTTTAACGCTTCAGTTGGGCATTTAATCACCTTAGCAGGGGACTTCACCACTTTAACTGGTGATTTGGTCACTTTTGTTGGTGATTGGACTGCTTTAGTCGGCGATTTAGGAGCTTTGGCTGGTGATTTAGGAGTTTTGGCTGGCGATTTATAAGCTTTGGCTGGTGATTTAGGAGCTATAGCTTGGGATTCAGCCAATTTAGTTGGTGATTTAGGAGATTTAGCAGATTTAGACGGTGATTTTGCTGCTTTAGCTGGTGAATTGGTAGCTTTAATGGGCGATGATTTTACTGCTTTAGCTGGCGATTTTGCCAGTTTAGCTGGTGATTTTGCAGATTTAGCTGGCGACTTTGCAGATTTATCTGGCGATTTTTCAGATTTAGTAAGTGATTTGAGAGCTTTAGACGGAGATTTCACCGTTTTCACCGTTTTCTTAGTTTTACCCTGATCATCTTTCTTTTTGGCAGGTTTAATCTTCTCTTTCTTTTCTGAATTTAATTTGATCTTTTTAACCGGTGTGCAGGGTTGGTAGGGGTGGGACTCAAGCTCTGCTAGATCAATACTTAACTCAGAATCTGCTCGTTTTCGTTTCGGTGGTTTAAAGTTGAACTTAACTACGACAGGATCAGCTGACCTTGAAACAGGTTTCTCAATATTCGGTTTCATCTTCTTAACTTGGGATGGATTGAGATCAAGTTTTCGTTTCTTTGAAACAGTTTTCTTGACCGTCGTCGGCGGCTTCTTGACTGGAGACTTCCGGGTCATTCTGTTTTCCTTTCCATACACAGTAAAATCAAAATCCTGAAATTAAATAAATAATAAAGTAATATTTAACTTCAGGTAACCTCAAGGATAGTGAATTCGTAGAAATTCCAAGGTTTCAGGTAAATCTTTAATATTACTAGCTTGGGAACCCAGCTCTGCCTGGAAACTAAACCAAGCTAAAAACATTCCCGTGGTTCGCGAGTTCTCCAATGAGTTATGATCGGACATCTAAACAAACAAACAGACAACAGAGATAACTGCATTAACTTCATTCTTGTCTTCCCTATTTCATCTGTGAGAAAATTAACCTGGTTTGAAGTATTGGAGTTTTGTTTTAATTTATATATTAACGGCAGAAACTTTAAATTTTACAACTGATTCGTGTTTTTGCGATATCTAATTGGACGAGAGCAGACTTCTCATGGTTTTTAATTAGTTGAACCTGATGTAAAGTTAATTGTCTAATTTTGATTTATCTATATAGTAAAGCAAGACATTCGTATATATATTTGTTGCGTATAGCCGGCCAAACGGCTGGACCGATTGGACTGAAATTTTTTTTGTGGACACACATTTTTTTAATAAGAATTTTTTTCTCCACGGCTCTTCAGCTATTATTCTTTATAATAAAACAAGACATTCATATATACGTTCCTTATAAGTCGGCCAAACGGCTGGACCGAATGGTCTGAAATTTTTTGTGGACACTAATGGGTGGCCGGGGGTGTCATTGGCTAAAAAATTTTTGAATCTTTTGTTTACAACATTTTTTTTCTTCAAATTTTTATATTTTTTCCCCATGGGCAATGCCGGGCCCTTCAGCTAGTATTCAATGTTAATTCTATATGATCTTTTCTCATGAAAGAATAATGTGAGGTCATTAAAATTTTTTTTTGGAGATAATCCAACTAAATTCATCGATGGTAATGATGCCACAAAAAGTCAAAATGTGTTTAAATGTATATATATTATTTACACAGGGAATCTTGAACCTAGATCTCTCCGGACTTATCTCCACATCTCCGGAGAACTGGGAATACGTCCTGGCAAGATTAAGCGCGGATTTTCATCGTTTGAAAAATCTTAAACTAAGAAATAATAATTTTACCAAGGTAGCAAAAGTATTTAAAACAAATTGTTTGATAACTTTATTAGCATTGTAACCAAGGTTGTATAATAAGGTTGGTTACTCTCGATGTGCTCCGATGTGCGGAAAATGTAGTCTAGATAAAAACCTCATATGACGTCACTCTCGCCTCTTTAATCGGTAACGTCATATGAGGTTTTTGTCTATCCATCTTGAGACGACATTTTCCGTACATTGGAGCTCATCGACAGTAATCAACCTTATTATACAACCTTGATTGTAACCGACCCATCTTCAGGTTCGGTTAAAGATAACTCCTCCTACTCTGGAGACACTGGATTTATCCTTTTCCGTCCTTACTCCGACCCAACTTGACACGGTTTGGGGATCTCTACTAAACCTCAGGTCTTGTACATATTCTGATTTAAAGAGCAAAAAAACTATTTTTATTCATATTTTAATTGTCTAATATCAGTTTAAAGATAATCCTGGTGTTTGCTTTATGAGTAACTATAGGCACAACCCACAAAAAAGACCATGCCAAGATCGTTATAAAAACGACCCTCTTAATTGACCTATTTTTTACGTTCTTAAACTTTCGTTGTAATTTTTATCGACCCTCCATTAAAAGATGGTCATACCTGATTAACAATAGGACCCTTGAAACCTTTATCTGATCAAAAACATTTAAGATATTATTGTTTTCCTAGCTTTAGAAGGGTACCTTTGTGAATCAGATATGTAACTCAATATGAAGAGTTACTTGAAATTACGACTACAGTCCCTTTCAACTACAAATCAAGAACAAGTAAAAAAAAAAAACAATATGTTTCAATCTGAAGAAAAATGAGGATTCTAAGATTAGACTATTTGGAGATATTCTCTCCTGAAACATGGGAAACCTCTGACATGGAGATATTCTCTTGTGAAACCAGGGAAACCTCTAACCTTGAGATATTCTCTTGTGAAACCAGGGAAACCTCTAATCTGGAAATATTCTTTCCTGAAACCTGGGAAACCTCTAAAACCTATAACAAGCTTACCAGTAGTCACATAGCTAAAGCATTAAAACAATAGGAACATAATTGATCATTATTCTGAGTTCAAACAAGTTCCTCGACCCGCTTTGAACCTGAACGTTCAAAATTTTAAATAACCGTCAAATCTAATAAAAAATATTAAGTAATAATGGCTACAAATTGTGAACGGAATTGGCTAAAATTTGTGAACTAAAATCGGCTACAAATTGTGAACTAACAATGTCCAACTGTACACACTATACAGGGAGAACCAAAGGGGGGAATAAGGGGGCTTATCCCCTAAATCCTCCCCCCCCCCTGAGAAAACTGATGGTTTAAGGTCCCATGGATTACAATAACAAGCCGCTATGTCAGGCAGAATGATCATGATGACCAAGAAAACGAACTGTTTGTAAATATTTGTAAATATTTGTTATAATTTAATATATTTGTCCAATATCCACACAAAACTCTACAGTTAAATCAATAATAAAATACATGTACTGTATACAATATATATACACATCTATATTTATTATTTTTAGAATTGTGAGATTAAAACACAATATATCTCTGGGTTGGACTGGTTAGTCTCTAACTTTATCAACATTTAAATTTGTGAAAGGCATCTATGTTGGTCAACTGCTCAAGCATTTTCATTTCAGGCGTAAACACGTACTTTTTCCAGGGGGGGGGGGTTGAGGAGTATGTAATAATAAAATTCCCCATTTTTTACAACTATTTTAGAGACACATACATTTAATAAAATTAACAAATTGTAAATATTTATACATATTAGCTTAAAATTAGTCAATAAGTCAATTTAAATAAAAATCATTAACCTGTAAAAATAAACTTGACGTTGTAATGAAAACTGTAGGATTGTATAAAGCTAGTTTTTGTTTTAACAACTTGTGCAATCTAGTGGTCGAGTAGTTTTTAACGAAATAAAAAGTTTTTGTTATTTACTGCAGTAAAATAATTAACAGATAATTCTATAAAAAGTTCTTCTGATTAATTTGTTAGTAATCAATAATATTTCTGATATAAGCCGATTGATTGATTGATGGATAACATAAATTATCTTTAATTAGTGCTACTCAATTTAAAGAATACATCCTAGCAGCTTTGTAAATTGAACATATAAGTGTATAATAATTAAAAAACGTATTTTTTGTTCGTTATTATGGCTTGAGTACCATTTTGGTCCTTCATAGTACTTAATTTCATTTTAGGGAAACTGAAGATTTTTTTTAAACCATGGAAAAGCTTAGCGGGGACCAATGGATGTCAGGGGAAGTTAAGGAGGTCAAGAAAGAACAAGGAAGATCATAGGAGGTCAAAGGAGTTAGAAGCCAATGAAGGTTAAAGGTGGTCAAGGAAAGTCAAAGAAGGTCAAGTATGATCAAAGAAAGCCAAGGAAAGCAAAGGAAAGTCAAGGGAGGTCAATGAAGGTCAAAGGAGGCCAGTGAGGTCAAAGGAAAGGAGGTCGCCCTGAATTACGATTCCATTTCCTCCTCTTGCTGTCAAGCTGACATAGGTGCTGTTTCCGCTCCAGTTCTTCGCTGGAAGGAATTCAACTCTTTCCACACATTTTCTAAACAAGATAATTTTCTAAACAAGATAATTTTCTAAACAAGATAATTTTCTAAACAAGATAATTTTCTAAACAAGATAATTTTCTAAACAAGATAATTTTCTAAACAAGATAATTTTAATACAAGATAATTTTCTAAAAAAGATAATTTTCAAAACAAGATTATTTTCTAAACAAGATAATTTTCTTAACAAGATAATTTTCTAAACAAGATAATTTTCTTAACAAGATAATTTTCTAAATAAGATAGTTATCTAAACAAGTTGAAACCCCCTCCCCCCCCAATCGAGATAGGGTTTAAAAGATGAGCTTAGAATGAATACCAATTAAAAACTAATTACCTTTCCATTCTTCAACAGATAGTTCAAAATCTTCAAATGATTGATCGTAAGGTTGAGATGCTGGTTCATCAGTAGGGTCAGCATACTGAAAATAAATATTAAAGGGACAACTTGCGTTATTTCGAAGATGGCAATGCCCGATTCACAACAGTACACTTTATACCTTTATCTGATCAAAAATGTGGATGATATTGTCGTTTAGAAGTGTTTAATTCTGATAATTCCTACATGATTTTCTGCAGTGCTAAGTACTAAACTTCCTACCTGTGCTAAGTACTAAACTTCCTACCTGTGCTAAGTACTATAGTTCCTACCTGTGCTAAGTACTATACTTCCTACCTGTGCTAAGTACTATACTTCTAACCTGTGCTAAGAAATATACTTCCTACCTGTGCTAAGTACTATACTTCCTACCTGTGCTAAGTACTATACTTCCGACCTGTGCTAAGCATTATACTTCCTATCTGTGCTTCGACCTGTGCTAAGTATTATACTTCCTATCTGTGCTTCCGACCTGTGTAAATGTTTACCTAAGGGACTGCCTTCTTAAGAAATGTTTACCTAAGGGACTGCCTACTAAAGAAATGTTTACCTAAGGGACTGCCTACTAAAAAAATGTTTACCTAAGGGACTGCCTGCTTAAGAAATGTTTACCTAAGGGACTGCCTATTAAAGAAATGTTTACCTAAGGGACTGCCTATTAAAGAAATGTTTACCTAAGGGACTGGCTCCTTTAAAAACGTCTTGAAAATTTTTCTTCTCCATTTTTGGAAGGGAACGAATATAATTTCTCGCCTAGGAAAAAAATAATAGTTTATTTTCAATATTGAATGTTTCGTTATTATTTACATGGGGGAGGGGCAAGATGTACACTGCCCCCCCCCCCCTTTATGATTTAAGTTTAAGTCTAAATGAAGATGTTTGTCAAGTGTAATTAAGAAAAATATTTATAAAATAGATTTCATATTGAAAAAATGGACCAATTAAAATAAGGAACAAATTACTTGAAATTTCTGTTTAAAAATATTGAATTATGTAGATCATGGACCATTTCCTTTACTGAAAGATAAATACTTTATCAAAATAAAATGGCTGTCCAAAATAATAACCATAAGTTTTAAAGTTTGTTAAAAATTAAAGTTCTGACTAACTACAATTAAAATCATTGATAAATCAGGCTCGTAACTTGAATTTTATAGGGTTGGCGCCAAAGCTGGAAAAAATTTAATGTTACTTGCATATTTAGTAACTATACTACTACTATATTAACTAATTATTGGTGAAAAAGGGGGAATTCACTGTAACCATACACAAGAAAAATCGTTAGGGGCCTGATTACTATAGAGTCTAGTGTCTTTATAATAGCTGTAAATGAGCCATATATAGTAGGTATCATATAGAACATAAGCAAATGACTCGACATTTTTTTAAGTCTCATTTTGCTATACATTTTTTTACAAAAGAAAGTACATACCTCTAGAAATGCCGAGCTCTGCGACTAGAACAGGCCAAAGAAATTGTTTAACGTAGAAAAAAAATGTATAGCAGAAATAATGAATAGTAAAAATGCTATCTTGCTAAAATCACGATACAAATATGATACAATTAAACGTAGTTAGATATTATAAAGACGGTAAACCCCTAAAAGCAAATGCTCCACCTCTTCGCTGGTAATTTTGCTGAGGGTTTCGTCTGTTGGAGTCCCACACAGCGTCAATATTCGGGTTAGTTGATCTATGTCTAAAAACAGGTTTTTGGTAGTAAACAAACAAAACCGGTTCTTGTTAGCAAACACAAAAACAAGGGCAAATCATGTTCATAAATGAAATGAACACAATTTTTTTTATAAATCTTAAGTCTGTCTAAATGGTGCCATGACAAACTCCTGAAAGACAAAATCCGGAAAGACAAACTCCTGACAAGACAAACTCCTGACAAGACAAACTCCTGAAAATACAAACTCCTGAAAGGCAAACTCCTGAAATTATGAAATTTTTCTCTGAATGAAATATGATAAAATTCATAAATCAGGAGTTTGTCTTTCAGGAGTTTGTCTTTCAGTAGTTTGTCTTTCAGGAATTTGTCTTTCAGGAGTTTGTCATGGCGCCGTCTAAATATTTGTTAATTCATTCTTAAACCAAAGGAGATAAATGCTTATGATTGAAGACAGCATATTCTGCAAAATTTAAAATAAAAACATTTCAATTGATTTTCTCGAGAAAAAAAAACTGTTAAAATATGAAGTAGATTAGTTTGTGGGTTGGGTTGAAACCAGAGTGTTCTCAAACCTCCTCCGAGCCTAGTTTCAGTAGAAGCTTTTCATCGGGCTTCCCAACCAACATCATTATACGGGTCAGCTGATCAATATCTTAAAGGTGACATGCCTCAGCTGATAAATATCTTGAAAAGTGACTATAATTTCAGCTGATCAATATTTTAAAGGTGACTATAATGTCAGCTGATAGTGATCAATACCTTAAAGGTGACTAAAGTCAGTTGATCAATATCTTAAAAGTGACTAATATCAGCTGATCAATGTCTTAAAGTTGACTGAAGTCAGCTGATCAATATCTTAAAAGTGATTAATGTGAGCTGATCAATGTCTTTAGGTGACTAATGTGAGCTGATTAGTATCTTAGAGGTGACTAAAGTCAGCTGATCAATATCTTAAAGGTGACTAATGTGAGCTGATCAATATCCCCCCAGACATCAAAGGGCAACTATTAACTTTGTAAATGATTTACCCAAAAATTCATTTCATTCCTCCTAAGAATTTTTTTTCCATAAATGCATCAACTGAAACCCAAAAATGTTTGTAAATAACATCTGCAAAAATTGATTTTCATCAGGGGGAATGATATTTCAAGAAAATATAAACCCCTGTCCCTAATTAATTTATTTCAAAATAAATACTTACGATCGGTTCCTGGAAAGGGTGTTTTCCCCGTAAGCATTTCAGCCATGATGCAGCCCACAGACCAAACATCAACTATAAATATTAATAATTAGCTAATCACATACAAAAATCAGCTGTAGCGTTTTCGGGTTTTCTTTTGTGTATGTACAATGTACATATGACTATTGGCGGATTTTCTTGTACATTAACAGTCAGCTTTTCATTAGCAAACAGTAGACTTTAATTCATGCTGCACAACATATGCGATCTATATATTTCATTCAGGGTTAACAACTTAACATGTACAATTAACTGAATAAATAATTTAACAATTGTACAGTGTACACTGTACACTATACATTTAATACTGTACAATCTACAATTGTACATGATACTAATTTAAATGTTATCTGTAATAAAACCTTACATAAAACCATAACAATTAAATTAAAAGCTAGAATAACATCTATATCATAGATTAAACATTTAAATTACAGACAATGCATACAACATTAGTTAATGAAAATACTAAAAATTTAAATAAGATTTAGAAAATTAGATAGACGTCAATATTTATAATATTGAAAACTGCTTATTTTCATTTGTGGTTTCTCTACAAAAGTGCGCAATTCTACTGCAGGAAAACGAATGGGAATTATCAGAATTAAACTATCAACGAATGCAAAGGGTACAAAGGCCGGGTACATCGAATAGATTTTAGAACAAAAGATTGCAACGTAGAATTTGTACACTCTCAGTACAGCTGTATTTTTACGTCACAAGTGTCAACTTAGTTTTCGTGTCCGACAAAATTATTAATAATAGTGAAAATTTTAGAATAAAGTAGTTATCTTACAGAAAATAAGTGCAATTTTATGTGTTCATTATTTTCTGTTTTTACACTTTTTTATTTAATCTTGATAAACATGTCAACTGATGTGAGAAAATGTTGTTTTTCTTGTTATATTTGACACTTGTGACGTCATTGAACCAACTCTCTGTTGCCACCTATTGTACGGTTTTACTTTTTTTACGAAAGATAAATATTATTAAAATGATAAAGTTTGCTCTGAAAATGTTGAAAAAGATTTCATAGAATTTGTTGAACAATAGGATGAGAGAAAAATATGAAAAATATTAATTATCTTAAACGTTGAGAGTAATCTATCAAAACTATTCATATTCTAGTTTCTTAATTTATTTACACAACTATGCAAGTAAAGACATAGCGGAAAACTAATAAAAACGATAATAAAATATTATAAGTTCATATCTTATTACTCTCCAACTCATATAGTAATTTTCTAATCCTTATATCTTTGCAACCTGATGTCCTAGACCGGATATTTTCTTAATGTGAATTCTGCTTGATCAAATAGTTTGGAATATCAAAGATTTACACCATCGGGTTGCAAAGATATATAGAGATTAGATAATTGTAGATTCCATTGTAAACATAAACCATTTAATTATTGTTCAAATATTATCAAAGAATTCTTACAACAAAGAAACATGCACACTGCACAGAGCTTTATGTTCTTAAATCATAATATACTTGTTCTTACTATTCATATTTCTTGAAGACAAATATAAAAATGTATGTGACCTAAACCAGGGATATCATGCAATTATTTAATCTAGGGTTGTGTGTTTAAACTACAAGAAGAGGAAAAAATAACAATTAAATATGTTAACAATACCTTTTTGTTTATACGGAACTATATATCCACAGAAAGCAAAAATATATATTTTTAATAAAAGTTGAATTGAAACAAAGGCAAAAAATGGATTGTGTAACTAGAACAATTTTTACCTTTGATATTTGGAACACAAATTATGGGCCCTAAAATTCACAAATTACAAAAGTTTTCAAAAAAGAACAAAAAAACATTACGATTTGAAAACAGACCTGGCTTAAAAAGTTAACTAACAATGTAACACTTTTCACAATAATCATTTATTTTTTATTTAAAAATATATTGATTTCTCTTAAATTCTAAAAACTAATAAATTATTTGTTAATTTTGCTTTTTTGTTTCACCTAAACAAGATTCAGCTTCCCCATTTACAGCTAAATTAACAATAAATCACATTTTATTAAAATATTTTGATTTTAAAAATAAACAAGATGTTTTCTTTCTTTAAATACAAATATTTAATAAAAACAAAAAAAGGATTGAAAAAGTCGAATAACAGGTTAGTAAACTGTATTTGAAGTCTTTGTCAGGCGCGTAGTGGGGGGGGCCTTAGGCCCCCCTAGAGCCAGAGGCAGGCTCTAATTTATTAATTAGTAAACTTACTATAATATATTGAATATTCAGATTTTTTACTTTTCTTATCAATGTCACAATTTGTCCAGTTTATGATTATTTCTCAAATTCTTTCTTGTACCTTAATCTTATTTACAATATTTTAGTCTCTCAGAGCAAGATGATTGACGAAGAGTTTTACTCAAATTTTTAAGGTTTTTGTTCTTTTACTTCTAGATTTTATAATGGTATGATTGGTAATTATGATCAGATGACTGATAATCAGCCTTCAGGTAGATTAATATAGATTTTAAACTTTATTTTTTCTCAATACCGGTTTTTAGGGGGGAGGGGGGGTTGCAAATCAACCGTTAGGGGGTGCACAAAAAAAATTCGCCGCACTTACGCGCGCCAAAAACGCACCCCCTAGGCTTAAACTCCACTACGCACCTGGTCTTTCTCAACTAAGTGGACTACTAAACTTATTTATTTATTTATCATTGATAAAAATGTAGAAATTATTACTCCAGCAGTTTCTCAAAACAAAATTTCAAATTAATCAAGAATTGTCGCTTCTCTTGAATTTTTAAGTTTAATCAAATTCAATTAGAATTCTGAATTGAGAAAATGAAACCTAAGATTCAATTATAAATTTATTTTTATCTTATATGATTTTCCAAAAACAAATTCATTAAGAAAAAGAAAGAAAATCTCTTAAATCAGCCAAATCTTACAGAAAATAAATAAAAACAAGATTTAAATTTTTTTTAAATTACATTTAATTGCGGATTTAATTTGGATTATAATCCACGAATAAACAATTTCATTAAAAAAATAAAAAAGGTTTCATTTAAAAATAAAAGTAAAAATGTGCTTTACTCGACTGTGCAGTGTACACTGTACAGTGTACAGATACACTTTACGTGAGTGTACACACTACTAGACAGTGCAGTACATTCTTGTAATTGTTAGTAAACAAAGAACCTGTTTGATTGTAGTGCATCCAGTTTAACATTATCTCCGGAGCCCTATACCATCTGGTGGCAACATATCTGGACAAAAATATAAAATTTCACAGAAAATATATTAAATTATAAATCTATATTTTTGGTTTTCTTGTCTGTCTGTCTGTTTGTGCGTTTGTTTGTATCCAATAAACGTCAAAACGACTGAACAGATTGGGCGCAAATTTTGTGTGGAGCCTCACATGACCCCAAGGAAGGTTTATGAATGATCAAAATTTCAAAAATTTGCCTCCATCAAAATTGGATTTTCAAAAAATTCAAAATCCACGAAAAGATATTTCAAAATCCGCGAACTTAATTGTTTCTTTAGTTATAAATTGCAGTGGTCAAAGAGAAAAATTTTTAATAGAAGATGGACGCAGCCTATTAAACTGAATACGAGAAAGGAACTTAGATTAACATTTTTCTTTAATGAATTACAAGACTTTAAATTTAACTCAAAATTCGTCTTTAATTCTCAGAAGCCAAGATGTTGTTGAAAACATATTTCTTTTTAATCAATAAAAAAATTTTTAATAAAATTTATCTCACCCAGTCATTTCAGTCTCAGTAGGACGAGCCAAACCAAAATCCAGGATTTTCAGCTCACAGTCCTCATTTACAGCGATATTAGACGGTTTCAGATCTCTAGATATTAGATAGTTTCAGATCTCTAGATATTAGACGGCTTCAGATCTCTAGATATTAGACGGTTTCAGATCTCAAGATATTAGACGGTTTTAGATCTCTAGATATTAGACGGTTTCAGATCTCTAGATATTAGACGGTTTCAGAACTCTAGATATTAGATAGTTTCAAATCTCTAGATATTATACGGTTTCAGATCTCTAGACATTAGACGGTTTCAGATCTCTAGATATTAGATAGTTTCAGATCTCTAGATATTAGATAGTTTCAGATCTCTAAATATTAGATAGTTTTAAATCCATAAATATTAGATAGTTTCAGATCCATGAATATTAGATAGTTACAGATCCATAAATATTAGATAGTTTCAGATCCATAAATATTTGTTAGTTTCAGATCCATAAATATTTGTTAGTTTCAGATCCATAAATATTAGATAGTTTCAGATCCATAAATATTAGATAGTTACAGATCCATAAATATTACATAGATAATTTAAGATCTAAGATCCGTCAAAACTATAATTCTAATCTACGATGATTCATTTGCGGGTCGGAAAACTCTATGGTTCGTTGACAAGGCACCCCGCAATCTTACCTATGAATAATACCAGCTGAGTGTACATACTTCATGCCGCGTATAATTTGATAGACGAGGAACTGTACATGATCATCAGACAGCTTCTGGGTTTTAATAATATTGTTTAGATCTGCACCCATCAGGTGAGTAACCATGTACCTAAATATATATATATATTATGAACAGCACATGTGGGTCACCATGTACCTAAATATATATATATATATGTTATGAACAGCACATGTGGGTAACCATGTACCTAAATAAATATATGTTATGAACAGCACATGTGAGTAACCATGTACCTAAATATATATATATGTTATGAACAGCACATGTGGGTAACCATGTACCTAAATAAATATATGTTATGAACAACACATGTGGGTAACCATGTACCTAAATATATATATATAGTTATGAACAACACATGTGGGTAACCATGTACCTAAATATATATATATATGTTATGAACAGCACATGTGGGTAACCATGTACCTATATATATATATATTATGAACAGTACATGTGGGTAACCATGTACCTAAATATATATATGTTATGCACAGTACAAGTGGGGAACCATGTACCTATATATATATATATATTATGAACAGTACATGTGGGTAACCATGTACCTAAAGAAATATATGTTATGAACAGCACATGTGGGTAACCATGTACCTAAATACATATATGTTATGAACAGTGCATGTGGGTAACCATGTACCTAAATAAATATATGTTATGAACAGAACAGTACATGTGGGTAACCATGTACCTAAATATATATATGTTATGAACAGTATATGTGGGTAACCATATTCCTAAATATATATATATATTATGTACAGTACATGTGGGTAACCATGTACCTAAATATATGTAAATACTATATACAGTACATGTGGGTAACCATGTACCTAAATATATGAATGTATATATTATGTACAGTAAATGTGGGTTACCATGTACCGAAATATATGTATGTATATATTATGTACAGTACATGTGGGTAACCATGTTCCTAAATATATATATATATATTATGTACAGTACATGTGGGTAATCATGTACCTAAATATATGTATATTAGACTAAATTTTAAATATGTGCTGTATTTAATAATAAAAGTAACTAGTCAACCATCATTCCGTGGAAATGAATGCCGAGTCCCAATCAAAATTAATCATAAGGACGGAAAATTATTGTACCAGTTGTTATGCATGTGCTGCATGTCTGTAAAATCTAATAAAACTTGTTCTGATTGCAGGAACACCGGACAAAAGAAGATCTTCCTGAATGATATTTTATCAAGAAAAGAATTGTTATCAAGAAAAGTTGAATATTAGAATGTAAACCTCACTTGAAACCATGGGCACCAACCTGCTTATCCAAGAATACCTGCCCTGAGTCAAGATAAACCAGCGCATTAAAAGGTATTTAAAATTCTTAAAGCCATGAATTAAACAATGATATGTGGAACCCAAACTCTTCTAGTCCCAGAAGAACACATTAACATTAGTCTTTATTCAGGCAGAGTTACGACTCTCATATCTGGAAACAGCTGAACCCAATCCAGATACAGGTGAATAAATACATCCCTAAATCCAAGTTATTAAAAAGAAAAAACTTGTGAAATAAAATCAATACTAAAACATGATTTTATTTAGTCACAATCACGCTAACCTGTGACTGAGGGTTCGACCACAGTGGAGGAGGTCTTTGGATTTGTATCTGTGGATCTGTACCTGTGGATCTGTACCTGTGGACCTGTAACTTTTGGCATCACCCGGAAACAAATCCAGCCAAAAGTCTTAAACAGGTGGAATATTTACTAGTTTTAATATTTACTAAATCTTGATCAAAGAATGAAAGAGGCAATAACTTTGACTACGCTCAACCATTTCTAATTAAAGAAATATTGAGAATGGTCCGGGAAAAGGGGACTACGTCAAACAGTCTCTGATTGCCGGGCCCAGACAGTTGGCAGGTAAACTTTTATGCAATCATTTTAAATAGAAAATCTGTTTATTTGATATTTGCATATATCTTGTTTATGCACAGACTAATATTATCCTATACAGGATGATTGCTGCCAACTCTGTGTTTGATTCTTTCTGGATAAATGGGGAAAGATTTCAATCACAGCTATAGCTAGAACTCTACTCAACAGAGCTACGCCTACTCTTGAATCTCTTGAAGACCATTGTTCAGTGTCCAAGCTATATAAAGTTCAACTAAACTTCAAGAGAAGCTAAAACTAATGAAGAGCCTAAACTGCAGGATATAAAAGAGCACTAAACTAAACCTGGAAAAGCCCACAAGTGAGTATTTCTTTTATAAGTATTTGAAGAATTTAAACATGATGAAACTTCTACTGAAAAAGGAATGAAAATTATCAAGTAAGAAACTAAAGTTCAATTGAAAGCAAATGAAGATTGTCTAACTACAAACAAATGCACAAAGCTTATTTTGGAGAAAATATTCACTTTTTGTAATTTTAATTTTTTAAAACTAATGTGATTATTTTTCAGTTTTCCACCACTTTGGATTCTGTAAGAAGAATTTGCTCAATAAATGCTAAATACAGCGTTGACTTTTAAATGTGCGTGTGTAATAAGGCTAAAAATTCCAGAGCGCTTCCTGCATTGCGCTAAAAATGTTATAAAATGCACAATGTCCACTATGTAGTGCATGTAGTGTTTTCCAGATTAGTACTGTATTTACTGTATGTACTAAATGTCATAAATTTTTATTTACTAAAAGTACTGTGTGCACTGTAAATAATGTACGCACTATATGTACTATATGTAATGTGTGTACTATAATTACTATGTACCGTATGTACGGTATGTACTTTAAGTTTAGTTTTGGGATTACTCCAAGGACCCCTAAAGTAGGAGTTACGGAGGTTAACATAATAAATCTGCATTAAAAGTTTCTTTGTATGAATAATTTAAAAGATGGGTTCTTAAGGCATCGCATTTATTTGTTCTATTGATTAAATTCTTTAACTTTTTTGATATTTTATCCCAGGTCTCTTTTCTTTTTTATCTTTTATTCATTCTTTGACATTTCTTTTGCTCTATTTTATTGTTTAGGCATAGATTTTTTTCTTCTTTTTTTGCCATATTCCATCTAATAAACATGTGGCATATAAAAACCGTTTTTGTCGTAATTATAATAAAAACATACAAATTATACAGTTTCGACTTTCGGGTTAAGCTTGAAATAAGTATTCATCATATCTTTGTTTAAAACTGATAACAGAGCTTGAATCCTTATTTCTGGAAGGAAGAGCATTCCACTTAGAAATCACTTTTGTACTGTATTTACTGTATGTACTGTATGTACTGTATGTACTGTATATATTTTATGTACTTAAGTACTGTATGTACTTATGTACTGTATATAATGTATGTACTGTATATACTGCATGTACTGTATGTACTGTATGTACTGTATGTACTGTATGTAATGTATGTACTGTATGTACTGTATGTACTGTATGTACTATATATACTGTATATACTGTATGTACTGTATGTATTGTATGAACTTACACGTCACAGAACTGATCAATACTTGTAACTGGAGTAAAGCAATCCAACAATCCAATTATCTAAATTAGAAAGGATTAAAGTTCGTAAAACATGAATATTGTTTATCTGCTGAATGTTAACATAACCGTGCAAATAGTGCGCTATGTTGGATGCCTAGCTCTCTTCGTTTCGTGTTATAGAGATAGATAGAAAGATAAATTTCGACTGATGATAACAAATTTTTAAAAACTCGTATACAATTCATTAATCAGGACCTATCTAGCCGATAAAGGCTGTTTTAAATGTAAGAAAACGAATCATACTTTTTGCTTTAAAAAATTTAATTTTTCTCATGATAAATTTTAAACTTACATTTTCATGAATCATATGTTTTAACATCCTGAGTTCTCTGTAAGTGCGTTTAGCATGAACCGCGGACTGGAAGGGACGAGCTATTTTCTTAATCGCGACCTATAATATTCTTATTATATCAAATAAACTGTTTGTGATTGGTTCTACTTTAATTTCTCTCTAAGGTTTCTGGAGAAGACCAACACCATGATATAATATCGGATACAATTAAGAATGGGTCGAATGTTGATTTTCTAATATTGGTTCAACTTTTTTTTTAACTTTTGCATGTTGATAATAAAATATCGTATTACAGAATACTTTTTTTCGATATTATTTTTATTAATAGCTTCATATAAAATCAATTGAGAGATAAGGAAAGCTCATATATAAGGGTGACACACGGTGAAGTGAAGGTAATAAAATCAAAAGGTGCATAGGCTCTCTGGGTGATGTCAACCCTTAGTATTGACATTTTTTTCTCTAACTTAATGAACTTAGTGCAAGTAGTTTCAAGATAGGGGGGGGTCTGAACACTAGAGGAATCCACAGCAGAGCAAACCTGGATAAAAAAAAAAAGTTAGTCTTAATATATATAATCCTTGAGCAAACCTGAATTAAAAATAGATAAGTTAATACTAATATAATCCTTAAGCAAACCTGGATTAAGAATAGAAAAATTAATCCTTATATATAATCCTTGAGCAAACCTTGATTAAAAATTGATATGTTAGAACTGATATATAATCCTTGAGCAAACCTGGATTAAAAAAGGAAAAGTTAATCCTATACATAATCCTGAAACAAACCTGGATTAAGAATGGAAAAGTTAATCCTTATATATAATCCTTGAGCAAACCTTGATTAAAAATTGATATGTTAGAACTGATATATAATCCTTGAGCAAACCTGGATTAAAAAAGGAAAAGTTAATCCTATACATAATCCTGAAACAAACCTGGATTAAGAATGGAAAAGTTAATCCTAATATATATAATCCTTGAGCAAACCTGGATTAAGACCAGAAAAGCTATACATATAATCCTGAAATAAACCTGGATTAGGAAAAGTTAATCCTAATATATATAATCCTTGAGCAAACCTGGATTAAGACCGGAAAAGCTAATCCTAATATACATATAATCCTGAAACAAATCTGTATTAAGAATGGACAAATGAATCCTAATTTATAATAATCCTTGAGCAAACCTGGATTCCCTGGATTAGGAATGGAAAAGTAAATACTATTACTTTACACTCCTATGAGAAAAATTTGAAAAACATACCTGCCCATAAGCACCAGAGCCTACAGGAGACAGATTAATATAATTCTCCGGAACCTCCCAAACCGTTTTATTCAACTCTATTCTGTGGTATCCGCTTCTCATCTTCTCTGTAAATAATAAAAAATATTTATAAAAGTTTTTTAAAAATACACCACTTGCAGTTTTTGTTGGGAAATTGGGTTTAATAACAACTTTGTATCATTCTTAGGTCAAATATTATTTGGTCAAATGAAACAAAACATTTTTAACGATATTAAATATTCATGCGTGATTGACACAGGTCATAACAATAAGCCTGATTATACTGCCTCAGCCTAAGAAGTTCGTTTGCTTTCTTGTCTGCACAACAGTTAGAAGACCTTTCTACTTCTAGAAAGAGACTGTTCATGATCTTGAAGAACATTTTTTTTAAATTAATTCTTAAATAGTGAATTAAAAGCCAGAATGCTCTTGTGCCAGGGTCGTAACTGGGGGGGGGGGCAATCGGGCTTCCTGCCTACCTGTGATCTTGGGGGGGGGGGGCACCCCACAGTTGGGTATTAGGGGTGCCCGGGTCAGCCAAAATGAGTTTATTCCAGAAACCTCTTATTTTTGTCAAAAGGCTTTTCGTCCGCACCACGAATGATGTCACAACTCACCATTTTTTCTCCAGACTTTAAAAAAGATTGTGAACATTGCCGGACAAAAAAAGACATGAACGGAAGAAAAAATGGTTATTTGAATTTATTTGTGACATTCAGTTGTCAATTTCTGCTTTAACTGTTAACATCTATGATTCTTGAAACAATAACCACAAAATTCTCCTAGTTTTAAAGCCCTGGCATTTCCCAAAATGTGGTCTGCCTTTTTATTTAATAACACCAAAATTGTCTGAATCAAATTCTTCATTCTTGGGCAATATTAAAAGCACAAAAAAGCAAACCACATTTTGTAAATGCCAGGACTAGGAATATTTTGTAATTATCAACTCAAGAATTTTACTTTTAAAATAAGATTATCAAATAAATGCAGCAAATTATAAAACAACTTTTAAGTTGCCTTGATACTTTTATGTTTCTTGGAGAAAAATAAATCAAACTTTAAATTGGCTGTAATAAAAATATCCTTTTTTTCTAATTTAAATTTCAAGTTTTTATATATAATTCTAATTGGAAATGTTCAGCTAAAGATTAATTGGGATATTCTATTATTATAAAGATTTATTCCCACTCTAAGGTACACATTACATACAAAAATCTACTTTATAACATAAGGAATAATGGTGTTGTACGTCATGAAACTCTGTTAAAAATAGATATTATGTTATGATTAGAGGTAAAGACTAAAAACCATAAATGAATGAATGTATAAGAGGAGAGTCATAAGAGTATACAATACAGAAAATTTTTACTTGGATTAATAGCTGAAAATTATTTTTAGGACAAGAAAAGCAGCATCAAAAAAAGATAAAGCTTGAAAATGTTCTGTTTCCCAAAAATCTAATTTTTCAAAACTAAACCTGCAACCCATGCATGGAGTATTTAAGAATTAAAAGAAATTATATCTTTAACTTCAATTTGTCTTAATATTGTTACATAAGCACTAAGATAGTTGATAAAAATCATTAATATATTAAAAGAAGAAGATAATAGATAAGTTTCACTGTAATCTGACAAAATATTGAATGAATTTTCTCTTGAAAGGAACCTTGCTTCAGGACTAAGCGTATCTAACTGAGACAGAGTAGTTAGCTGTGAGTCTGGATTAAGCCTCATTAACAAATATAAAGAGCAGAGATCTAAGAGCAAACCAGCAACTATGGGGGAGAGAGGCGAGACAAGAAAGAGAAAAGTAAGGGGGGGGGGAGGTTTACTATTTCTTTTGTAAAAAAGGAGTTTGGAGGATTTTTCCTAAATGTGGGTCTCTACGTAGTCAACAATTATACTCTTTTCATTAGTAAAGCTTTCTTCTAAAAAGATCTTCTGTTATCATAAAGGAGAGCTACTTCTCGAGAAAATGTGAAATATGTTTGATCTCAATATACAATGTGGGCATTTTTTTCAGAATAAATGTTTGATCCTTATAATTAAAGTTATATTCCTGCAGGGTTTGACCTCCTCCAAATACTGAAGAGGAATTGAATTATAATCTCTAGGTCTGCATGATATAAACCAAAAAAAGTGCTATAATCCCAAGATTCACAGAACTTCTAACTTGTGCATGTACAGATATGATATAATGCACTGCAGCCTAGAGACATCATATTATAGTATGGATTAAATTTGTTCAGTTTTGCTCTTACATTTGTGGTTTCCTATTGACATGATACACAAGCTTGTTTCACTAATGATTATCCAATATTATTTTCTCAATAAACAATTTTATTTCTGGAGGCAAAGCTCAAATTCAACCTTCGCGTTCAGATTGTTCCAAAAAGATTAAAGCAGGCCCGTAGCCAGGGGGGGGTGCAAGGGTGCAGGTGCACCCCCCTTTCTTCTGAAAGAGGGGTGCAATGACGAATTTGCACCCCCCCCCTAGTCCCATATAAAAGAAATTGTTTCTAAAATCTAGTTATAAATTATATAGCCCGAGTAAGAATTGATTTTCAAACCAAATTATAATCTATTTGTGCTTTATACTCATTGAAAGTGTGACGGAGTTTTTGTGTACTCTCTCTCAACTCATCCCCTGAGTCAAGTCTTTCCTGTGACCTATCGCAGGATAACTAACAGTTGATCAGTACACTCTGTTGATTAAATATAACACAACATCAAAATTTACTCATATTCATTTAATAGTTGTTTAAGTCTAATTAAAACAGTATGATTTATTAATTATATGCATAGAGTCCCATCTAAATGAAATAGTAATCTCCTGTACACTTTAAGACTTTTAGCCCCCCCCCCTCGGAAGAGAAAAAAGCTAATATGTGGCCCGGAAGGGGAAATAGTGGTGGCTCATGGCCGCCTGCCTTCCCCCGCTCGTGGGGGGGATGTTGAGTATAGACGATGTATCATTACCCTCCTTAAAAGTTGTGGTCCCTAACTGTTAAGCACAAATGCCGCAACTCATTTATAGCCGAAACCAAAAAGTGAAAAATCAAGTTTGTCTGTCCGTGCTGTTCGGTAAGTGTTTGTTTGTTCATGCGTTATGGTTGCGGTTTAGCCAAATACCTTTACTATTAAATGTGATCACAACATTATTACAATTATTTTGGTATATTCCTAGTTAGGACAGACCCATTATTTTTTTAATTTGAAAAACTAATAGGGCTTTTTTTTTCTTAATTTTGACGATTATTTGAAATGTTCATCTGGTATAACGTTAAAGATATATTATTATCTTTATGAAGAGATTCTTTTAGAATGGAATTAAACTTAATTAATTTATTAGCTGAAGTGTCCGGCGTTGCCCGTGGAATAATTTTTTTTAATTAAAAAAAAAATAATTTTGAATTTTTATCCTATGTGTTCCCCGGGATAAGGGGTAAGGGGTTCCCTCAAAGGTAATTTCCTAGAGAATGATTTTATATATATACAGATATTTTAAATATAAATACATTACATACAATGGAGGGAGAGGATGAGACTCCGTCAGTTGTTGAAAATGCTTGGGCTTACAAGGTAATTGCTTTTTATCCAATGGCAGGAAGTGTTTAATTAACATTATTAAAAGAATTTAAACTAAAATGTCATTTTTTTTTTCAATCCTGATTAAAATCATATTTTTTATAATTCTTACTATCAGGTTCCTGAATTTAAACCTGAAGATAATCCTACAGGGATGTTGGAAGAAAGCAAGTTTGCAACTCTATTCCCCAGGTACTTCTGGTACTTCTGGTACTTCTGGTACTTCTGGTACTTCTGGTACTTCTGGTACTTCTGGTACTTCTGGTACTTCTGGTACTTCTGGTACTTTATGTGGCCAAATCTGTGGCACCTTTTCCTAAGGAAGCAAAATAGAAAATGAATCGTAATAACAAAGATGTACAAATTGTGTACGCTAAAATGTGTACTGTACAAGTCATTTCCTGCCACATATACTATTTCCTTTCAGGGCTTCCTCAATTTCTCATTATTCTTATTAACAGGGTTAGCCATAACATTTTCTAATTAATTTTCTACATGAAGAATCTTTAAAATTTTGTTAAATTTATTGATGTAAAAATAAATAAGAAGAATGCTTTAAGGGTGCTCCGCACCCATCTGCAATTTCAACTGTGAATATTTTCTCTTTGTAAAAAAATAAAAAAAATAAAAATTTGGGCCCGATCTTTTCCATATTATATAGATAAGAAAACTCCTAATAGCGCCAATATTATTATATTAATATTATAAGATTTTATATTTCTAAAAGATATCGTGAGAAGTATCTGAAAGAATGCTGGCCCCTGGTTCAGGCTAAACTTCAAGAGTTCCATCTCAAGTCTGAGCTAGATCTGGTGGAAGGATCAATGACAGTTCTTACAACAAGAAAGTGCTGGGATCCATATATTATCATCAAGGTGGGATATTTAACAACTTCTTATTTAGGTTAAGGTAACTTTATTTTTTCATTTGGATGAGAATAATTGAAAATTTTCACTAGGAGCTCTCTCCTTTACTGAAAAATACTTCTAAAGGAAAAAATTGAAAAAAGAAGCATTTTTTAATATTTAATATCCAAGAATAACACCCTTGGTTTTCTTAAAGTAAAATTCTACGCTGGGATATAATTTGAGCAGTTGATGGAGAAGAATTTACAAAAATGTAAATATTTATTGGAAAAAAGACTTGAAGAATTGAGTGAAGGGGGGGGGGGTTGTATTGTTCATAAAATAGTAAAAAAAAATTGACGTTCATGTTATTTTATTTTTTTATTTCAGGCTCGAGATATGATAAAGCTCTTGGCTCGAAGTGTTCCTTATGAACAGGCGACTCGAGTCCTCGAAGACGATTTCGGCAGTGATATTATTAAAATTGGAACCCTCGTCAGAAATAGAGAACGCTTTGTGAAACGACGACAAAGGTTGATCGGACCAAATGGTTCTACCTTGAAATCTATTGAACTATTAACCCAGTGCTACGTGTTGGTCCAGGGTAACACAGTGGCCTGTATAGGACCCTACCAGGGCCTCAAGCAGGTCAGGAAGATAGTCGTGGACACCATGAACAACGTTCACCCGATATACAACATCAAGACCCTCATGATTAAACGTGAGTTGATGAAAGATCCGAAGTTAAAAGATGAGAACTGGGAGCGGTTTCTTCCCAAGTTTGAACACAAGACCTTGTCAAAGAGAAAGCAGCCCCACAAGAAGAAGGAGAAGGCCCCTTACACTCCCTTCCCTCCTGCCCAACCCCTGAGCAAGGTGGATAAGGAGTTGGAGTCAGGAGAATACTTCTTGAAGGAGAAGGAGAGGAAAGCTAAGAAAGCTGCGGAGAAAAGGGAAAAGCAAATGGAAGCCCAAGGAAACCGGAAAGAGAAGAGAGAGAAGAGCTTTAAACCTCCCAAGGAGAAACCTCGTGTATCGAATTCAAAACCTGAAACCTCTGAGGTTGACATTGATCAACTTAAACAAAAAATTAAGAAAGCCCAGCAGAAAAAGAAACCTAAACAGTAAATTTATATTTTTTCAGATAAACAATGATTTCCATCTAGAGTCTTGACGCAACAAATACTAAATTTAAAAATATAAAAATGTCTCTGAGATACTGTTTGGGAAACCTGCCGGGTTTGATGAATCCTGGATTCCGGAGTTTACTCCGACCCGTCCTGACGGAGTTTCTAGGTTCTCCTTTAGTCCTGAGAACTGTAGCAACACAAACTATTCCTTCTAGTAGAAGAGGTCCCAGGAGACCAAATAGACACAGGTACTATAAAGAAACGAAAATTTCTTTGGATAATAATTTCTGTCTGAATAAACAGGAAAAGTAATTTTTAGTCTAGTACTAACTTATATCTAACCATTTCAGGGATGTGGGTCCCCCCTTTTTAGAAATTCATCCCCCCTTTTTTAGAAATTCATCCCCCCTCTTTTTTAGAAAATCATTTTTCCCAAAGATATGTATTTTGGGAAAATCATGATTTTTTGGTTAAAAATTGTCATTAAGAAAGAAATAACAATTTTATCCTTTTTCTCAAATTAACAAAAATCATTTCCCCGGGTAATAATGTTAAATATACACCCTCCTACTATTTTTAATAATTATTTTGTTGAGAGGAGAAGTTAAGATTTTTCACAATTTATTTAATATTTAGAGATGAAAAATATCGAGCTGCCAGAAAGAATAAAGTACTCAAAATAGAATTACAAGATTTTGAATTTGAAAGAAGAAGATATAAAGATGAGGTAAAAATAATTGACGTAAAAATTGAAAGTTTTTAAATTGTTTAGTTTAATGCTTTATTGGTTTAGAATGTTGACAGCAAAAATATTAGTTATTATTGCAGTTTGAAAATGCTACCTATATACCATATCCATCAGTCTAATTTTCTTCAACGAATGTATTTTTAATAATCCCCCCTCTCCCCCCACCCCCCGGTGGAGAGCATAAAAAATCATCCATTCTTGAAAATATACAGTATATACCCTTGACAATTAGCCTGAAAAACATGAATTGAACGGAGCACCCAAAAAATTTTGACAAATATGATTTATTGTGGGAAATAAAACTTTTGTAGAAATATCAAAATTACAGATTAACTTGAATAATATTTGATTTGTTTCTTTTAAGTTCTGAACATCAATCTTTAAAAAAGGGAAAACTGGACTTGAGGAGGGGGGCGGGGGGTTGGCTATTTTATCTCTAACGCCTATTACCTATTTTTCCTGTGTCTAGGTAACCCCTGAGGAGTTGAAGGAGAAGATGAAAAAGTTAGGTTTACCTGCTCCCAGCTCCTGGCAGGAGAAACCACTGTATATATCTAGTACTGGGATGGTGATAGATCAATATATTCCTCCAGAGGGAGACGGGAAGGCCAGTCTAATCTCAACTGCTAAAGCTAAAGAGGTATGTGAACTTTTCTCTCTTGGCTTTTGACTCTTAACTCTAGACTCTTGACTCTTGACTCTTGACTCTTGACTCTTGGCTCTTGGCTCTTGGCTCTCGGCTCTTGGTTCTAGGTTCTCGAATCTTTTTCCAGATTGAGTCCGAAATTATAATTTAAATAATTTCTTATATAATACACAACTCTGGTCAGCAATTTAGGGAAGAACGAGGGGGGTGATTAATTTCAAAAGAAAGATCCCTCTGATAAAATTTTAATAAAAGTGATCTTTATGGGATGAATAAATAAATAAATAATTAATTGATGAAAAATTTAAAAAAATGCTGATTGTCAATGAAATCTTAATATTTTTATTCAAGAGGGAAAAAACTAGATTTTCTGATCAACCTCAATCAAACTAAACAAAATCAACGATTTAATCAAATCTGTTGAATCTAGGTAACAGATCTAGTGAAAGGGAAAGGGAAAACAATGCGAAGCATCAGAAAAATACGATCTTATCACGAGGAATTCGATCCAAGGTTGGTTCATTTTATTATTTATTTTTACTTCTAAATCTATTTTTGTATTTTTCATTAAGTTTTTTATTCTGATTTTTAATTTATCTTTGTGCGTAGGGAGTGGGTTAATGAAGCTGAGGATATTTACAAGCGCGCGCACGAAGCGCTCGGGGAGCTAGACGAGGACAAGATGCACATGCACGTAACTGAGAAATGTTTCCCTGAGATGATGTACATGGCGCGCAGGAAAACTATTCGTTGGAAATATATAAAAACTCTGGAACCTCCTAGAGTTGTTTTATGTAATAAGACATTGTACAGGCCAGAAAAGGTACTATACGTTACAGAGGACATAACGAGTCAATGAACATGTACTGTTCAGACTAAGTAGAATTGTACTGTACACTTCTGTACTGGCCAATTAAAGCATATGTACTGTTCTGGAGAGTTAGGGTACATATACCGAACTGTACAAGCCAGTTAGGATTCCTTTATATATTTATGAATGTATATGTATGTATAATAGATGCTTTTGTACTTTGTTTATCTTATAATTATATTGTATCTATTTCTAATCTAATATCCTGATATTTAACATTTAACATTGAATATATTCCTGAAAATCTAATTTTTGAAAGTTTTTAAAGTTTATACACTAAATGTCAGAATTGATTGGTAAACTAGAAACTTATTATTGATGGTTGGAAATGTGAAACCCCCCCGCGCCCCCCCCCCCCTCAACATGATGGTTTTTGCGTAATATTCTATTATATTTATTTATTTCGTAACTATATATTAGATATAGATTTGAAAACCTAATTGTAAAGAAGAAGAAAAGATGATCATACTTTTCCCTCCGAAACTAAATTTTAAAAAAATATATTTCTGTATAAATATGTAAATCCTACCTATTCAACTCTTCTATCTGTTTGATTATTATAAAATTTATTTATCTTTTTTCATGCTACAAGCTTAATAACACTTTGTATTAAATTGAATAAAAGAGAGGGGGGGGGGGGTAATCTGAAACTTAGANTAGACAAGGATCTCCCAGTAGGAAAGATGGATGCAGCGTTGTTTAGTAAAATTCACCCCATTAAAATTGTTCATTTTCCACAAAAGTTATTATTTTGCGTGAGGAGGTGTTTGATTTTTTATAAAATGTATTTCCCGCTGCAGGCTTATTTAGATTGTCTAATATTATTTACAGAGCGTCCAATATCATATTGGATTATAACCAAGCTTTTAAGCCAAAATACTCGAAATAATACTCGAAAAAAAAAACTAGTATTTTATGCTAGCCAATTTTTATTTAGCCTTATACATTTTAAATGATTCAATCTTTTTCAATGTTCTGATTAATCCCGAAAATCGCAATAAAGAGCTAGAAACGATCTATAATATGTTGTGGGACACCCGGTATATTCCTAGGTTTGGACGATTAATCCATGGGAACGAGAATATAGCTAAGGATGTTCTTGAGTATTGTGTATTTGAGAAACATCTGTCTAATGTTTACGGAGTCTGGAGACTCCACTCCAAGATTATACCAGACTGGATGCCAAGAAGGTATTGTTTAGGGATTAAAGGGAGTGGTCAGCAAAAATTAAAGGCGCGGTAGAAAGTACAATAGAGGCCGATCCATAAAAATCTGAAATATTTAAAATTAATATTTTCTTAACGTTTTTTTCCAAGATTTTTCAAATTTAGCTTTTGCATAATGTAATAATACCAAACTTAAAGAGAATATAACTTTTAAATATCTTACACAATGTATATTTTTGTGGTGTCCCTGAAAATAAAAAACTCTTCAGTGCCAAAAACGCGTCAAATAAACAGTTAGTCCAGTCAAAACCATGTTTGCGAAAAGTTTATTTCAAATTCTCAAATTAATCCAAATTTTGTTAAGCGCGGAGAACGGGCGGTTAACTTATCTAGTGCCGAAGGAGAAACCGGAGAAACCTACTGCGGAGAAAAAAGAACCGGAGCCTGAGATCCCGGAGAACAAGGTCGATGAGCAGGAGGAGCAAGAATCCTTGTACGACAGGTTTGGAAAGGTTTTGAAACGAGGATAATAGATCTTTTTTATATTTCAGATTTAAAATGTCTCCTAGTCCCTGCTTCCCTGAGTAATCGACGCTTCCTGAGAATGGAGAACAGGGCGGATAATCCTGAGAATGGGGCGGATAAACCGGAGAGCGGGGCAGATGCCGTAGAGAACGGGGCGGATACAGTAGAGAACGGGACGGAGGTAGTGGAGAACGGGACGGATAAGAGTGTATCCTGGTTGTTATCTAGACAGTGTGGAATATGCCAGGGTTTATCTGAGGATGCAGTTTCAACTCCTTGTTGTTTATCAACAGCCTGTAAACCCTGCGCTCTCAAGCATTTAGAATCCGACAGGTAGAACCGTATTTAGTCAAATTACGGGGTTGTTCCATGGAACAAGAATAGAATAAAGGGAAGGGAAATGGCGCTGGTCTGGCATGAGAAAGCCAGTCGCACTGCTTTTCTTAAGAGTTCCTTATCTATTAATAATATATTACATGTATATAAAACTTATTTTTGAGTGAACAATTTAATTATACAGAAAATTTTTTCCCCTCATCAGTGAAATATTTATTCTTGCTTTAACATTCCATCCTGCACAGAAACTTGTCGAATAAACATTTATTTCTGAAAGAAAAGTTTTAAGAAATGTTCAAATATAGATAAAATTCTAGGTTCCAAATTTCTGGGTCTAAAAATAAAAAACAAAAAAATTTATTTATTAACTCTAAAATTGCCGCACTTATTTATTGTCAGCACTCGGGTGGAAACAATGAAAGAGGGAAACGAATCAATTAAATTTCATGGAAAAACTCGTCTAATTATTTTTATCTGTTAAGCTCTTGTTGGATCTGTGAGAACCCTGTAGATGAATCCCTACTTGCAGAAAACCAGGGACATAGTTATATCCTTTATCCTTTATCCATCTTGCCATTAGATATCTGATTTTACTCATCCCTTATCCATCTTACTAATGGATATCTTTGATTTTACTCATCCTTTATCCATCTTACCATTAGATATCTGATTTTACTCATCCCTAATCCATCTTACCATTAGATATCCTAGATTTTACTCATCCTTTATCCATCTTACCATTAGATATCTGATTTTACTCATCCTTTATCCATCTTACCATTAGATATCTGATTTTACTCATCCTTTATCCATCTTACCATTAGATATCTGATTTTACTCATCCTTTATCCATCTTACCATTAGATATCTGATTTTACTCATCCTTTATCCATCTTACCATTAGATATCTGATTTTACTCATCCTTTATCCATCTTACCATTAGATATCTGATTTTACTCATCCTTTATCCATCTTACCATTAGATATCTGATTTTACTCATCCTTTATCCATCTTACCATTAGATATCTGATTTTACTCATCCTTTATCCATCTTACCATTAGATATCTGATTTTACTCATCCTTTATCCATCTTACCATTAGATATCTGATTTTACTCATCCTTTATCCATCTTACCATTAGATATCTGATTTTACTCATCCTTTATCCATCTTACCATTAGATATCTGATTTTACTCATCCTTTATCCATCTTACCATTAGATATCTGATTTTACTCATCCTTTATCCATCTTACCATTAGATATCTGATTTTACTCATCCCTTATCCATCTTACCATTAGATATCTGATTTTACTCATCCCTTATCCATCTTACCATTAGATATCTGATTTTATTCATCCTTTATCCATCTTGCCATTAGATATCTTAGATTTTACTCATCCCTTATCCATCTTACCATGAGATATCTGATTTTACTCATCCCTTATCCATCTTACCATTAGATATCCTTGATTTTATTCATCCCTTATCCATCTTACTATTAGATATCCTAGATTTTACTCATCCCTTATCCATATTACTATTAGATATCCTAGATTTTACTAACCCTTATCCATCTTACTATTGGATATCCTAGATTTTACTCATTCCTTATCCATCTTACTATTAGATATCCTAGATTTTACTAACCCTTATCCATCTTACTATTGGATATCCTAGATTTTACTAATCCTTTATCCATTTTACTATATATTAGATTTTACTCATCCGTTCTCCATCTTGCTATTGGATATCTTAGACTTTACTCATCCATCATCCTCTTGGATACTATAGATTTTACTCATCCCTTATCCTCTTGGATACTCAAGGTTTTACTCATCCCGCATCCCTCATCTTGGATATTATAGATTTACTTTCCCTTATCCTTTTTGATATTTTAGATTTACCAAGGTTGTATAACAAGGTTGGTTACTCTCGATGCCCTACGATTTAGGGAAAATGTCGTCTCCTAAGATATATAGATAAAAAACCTCAGATGACGTCACTCTCGTCTCTATAATCAATGACGTCTTATTAGGTTTTTAAAAACCGTTTTTATCTATCTATCTTAGAAGACGACATTTTCCGTATATTGAAGCGCATCGAGAGAAACCAACCTTATTATACAACCTTGGATTTTATTCATCCCTTATCCTGTTAAATAATTAATATTTTACTCATTCGTCATCCTGTTAGATAGTTAACATTTTACTCATCCTTTATCATGGTGTAAGTTAATATTTTCCTCATCTCTCATCCTGTTGGATAGTTATTATTTTACTCGTGCCTTATCCTGTTAGATAGATAATATTTTACTCATCTCTCATCCTGATGTATTCTTAGATTTTACTCATTCCTCATTCTATTAGCGGTGGCCGGTGAGCTTTCAACTATATATATATTTTTTTAATCCATATTTACCATTTATCTAAATGTTGTTTCTAAGAAAGGTATATGGATATATCTACTGCGAGTTTAGGAGGTTCGGGAGAGTTTGGATCAAATCATTCCCAGTCTTTTCTCTTGTTCCCTTTGCAGGTAATCCCCTGAAGTTTTACCGGCTTGTAACTAAAAACTGCAAAAAAAAAATCACTCAAAGCCCCAATCTGAACTATTGTAAAAAGAGAGATTATAAAAATTTCCTGATTTCTGAATGGTTCATCAAGTTTTACTATAAACATAAACGAAACAAATAGGACACAATTTGAAAACTCTGCTTTGTTAAAAAAAAATCATTAAATTGTAGAAAAAATAACCTGGAGTTTTTTCCAAAGTGGATCCAGGATCCGGATCCGCATTAAAAATTAATGGATCCTTAGGACTGATTATAAGCATATCTTATTTATTAAATTAAATATAAAACTAATTCTTGTTTTCTCAAGGTGGTTCTGTGTGCCGGGGGTGTGGTATAAAACATATAACCCAGAGCAGGAACTGTTGGTCGTGTTCTAAACCTGTTCTAAAAACAGATGATCTGGATTCAGATAAAACTATCAGGTACTCTCCCCCCCCCACATCCTGGATTCAGAATATGATAAAGATAACACCTGTGAAAAAAAATGTTCATCAGAAATCAATAATAATATTTTTGTTCTATTCTTTCTATTCCAAAGTTTCAAAAGAAACTGTTAATAAAAGAGCTTTAATAAAAGAGATTTTACAAAAAAAAACGAGGAAAAACTACAAATCTGCTCCAAATCTTACCAAATCTGCTCCAAATCTTATCAAATTTGCTCCAAATCTGCTCCAAATCTTATCAAATTTGCTCCAAATCTTACCAAATATGCTCCAAATCTTGCCAAATCTTACCAAATCTTACCAAGATGGCAAAATCGTACTTTTAACAACAGTAAATACATTTTCAATGTTTCATTTCTAAAATAACTTTTTTTTATAAAAAAAATCTTACGCAGATATTTTTCCTTTTACCTAAAACTTTTATGCATTTTAATAATTTTAGCATAAAAATTTAATTAATGTTGGGTAAAACTACGCTGATCCCAGTTTTTTTTCCCACCCTGGGTTTTTATGTTTTATTTTTATTTTAATCTTTCAATATTTCAGGGATGCACTGAGTTACCACAAGGAGAAGGAGAAACACTCTACGGAGTTAATAAATAAACTATTTCTCCGTAGAATCATGTTTCTCAAGGAGGCTGAAACAAGGAAACCTAGTGAGGTGGAACAGGGAGAAATAGGAGACGGGGAGGAGGAAGGTGAAACAAAGGAGAACGGAGATAATGACGCAAAGTCAGAGGACGCACTCAGTGAAGGAAAACGTGAGAAGGTTGAAAGTTCTCCGAGAAAGAAATCTACCCGAGACCGGAGTAGTTCCAGGGACCGGAGACGGGAGAAAAAGAAACACAAGAGGGATGAGCATCGACGAGAAGACAAGCGGAAGCGCAAACACAGAGATCGGAGTAGGGATAGAAGTAGGGATAGAGAGAGAAACAGGAGCAGAGATAGAGATCGTAGCAGAGATAGAGAACGTAGTAGAGACAAAGAGAAGTCTCGGAACCAAAGTAAAGACCTGGAGGATAAAAGTGACAAGAAAGAAATAAAAAAAGAAAATGGACTCGGTTCATTCGCCGCCTTACAGCGGAGAATCCGTGAAGAAAGCGAGATTGTTGAGAAGAGAGTGAAGGACAAGATCGAGGAGTATATCAGCAGCATGGTCACCCAGCAGCTCAGGGTCAAGAAGGATGAGATAGAGAAGGAGGTGTTGAAGAAGGTTGCCCTGGCCAGGCAGAATATGGAGGAGGAGGTTAAGATGGAGATTGATCTCATGAAGAAGTTCAGGGAGGCAGAGGAGAAGAAGAAGATGGATGAGATGAATGCTAGGATGGCAGAGAAGGTAGGATTGTTTTAAAATTCAGTGATGGTGATGGACCAAACCTCTGTAGAGTAAAAAAGTAGATGTTAGTTCCACATTTATTGAAAATATATTTCGGTCTGGGTTGACCCTCGTCAGTTTTAACGATATAATAACCATCAAAATCGATAAAAAAAATTAAAAAATGTAAAAAATCACAAGAAGATAAACAAACAAAAAGATTATTCAAAATAAAAATTTGGGCTGTCAAATGGACATAAGGGAAAAGAACTTAGGTAGGATTGGTCTGCGAGATGGTAGGAGAGATAATCCCTGTAAAAACATCCTACCACAAATATTTTTTCACCTTTCAACCCCCCTTTAAAGACTTTTCGTAAAAGAAAAATTATAAATATTCAAATAGAAATAGTTATTCAAAAATCTAAAAGTTTTGATTATATCTAAAACTCTAACCTTCCATCCACCTCCGTATAAATCTATTTTTATATTTTCTCTATTATTACAATCAACATGGCGTCATCAGATTTCTTTCTCTTTATCTCTCCAGTACAGAGAGACAGCTGATTATTAGTAAATAGTCACTATATTAGAAATATGTTCAATTCTAGTGGGGTTTTTTAAAAATAGTAAAATACTTATTAGAAGAAAAATGTCTGAAAAGATTATTGTTTTTTTTTGCAGATAATTATTCTTAAAAGGAATAAAATAAAGTTGTCTCTCAGAATCCCTTTTTATTGATTATTTTTTTTTAATCGTGCATCTGCTACGTTTTTCTTTTAACATTTGTTTGACGAATTATATTCTTCTCCTGAAATGGGACTATACAGAGCGTCCCACGTCAAAATACGCCAAAATACGCACAAAATACACTCAAGCAATCCCTGTACAATATGACTTAATTTCATTTCATTTCATTTCATTTCATTTCATTGTTCAGGAGAAAGCTCTAGAAAACGAGCGCAAGAAGCTTGCTGAAGACCGGCTGGCTATCCTGGAGAACCAGATGAGGATAGAGAAGGAGAAGCAGAAGGAGAAGAAGAAGATGGAGAAGAAGAGTAAACAAGAACAAATGAAGATTCTGGGAAAGGATAAATCCCGACCTCGTCTTTCCTTCAGTTTAAATAAGAATTGAATTTCAGAAGAATGATTGAGAATGTCAGGGGACGGATTGCTCTCTAGGTCGGATCAGGATCGGATTCGATCCTTTCTCCTGGAGCAGTTGAAACAGTTTGCTGATGGTTTAGGACCGGAGATAGGTTTAGCAGACCTGGAGAAAACTGGGGCCTACAAAGGACTTGCAGATAAGGTCCGTGTTGACTTTAAAAGAGTTTTTATTAAAAGTTTCTAATGAGGGACGTCACTCAATGCTTTTTTTCGAATTTTATTTAGTTTTCCTCAATGAATGGTGTTTTGAACGGAAATCGACAATTTGACAGGTACATAAAATCGAGTTAACGTGGATTTCTATTCCATTTTTTTTAATTTCTTGAATTAAAAAAAAGAATCCATATTTTTCAGGTTAATTCTGGTTTAATTGAGAGTTTTGAGTGTCTTGAGGATTATAAGATTATTACAGTTGTTTCTGCGCACAATCCTGATCTGAAGGTAAACGGATGATTTTAATTCTTGGCCCCCTTCTCCTCTCTTATCCTGATAGATGGGAGGGGGGGGAAGGCTTTATAATTTTTGTTTAAGTCTCCATTTTTGATTTGCTTCAATAGTTTCTTGAATTAGATACATTTATTATAACTTAAAAGCGCTTTTACCTTCTTTGTGTATTGTTTCCACGAAAAACCATTCATTTGTTGCATAAGTTAAAGTTAGCAATTAAAGAATTCAGAACAGAAATTTGGGGGAGGGGGGGGGGATAATAAACTGTTTAGTGTTAAGTAGTTCAGGGGTTTATATCTTGAAGAAATAAAAAAAATGATTTTTAAAGAATGGGGGATGGGGTGTAATATAAAATAGACATTGATTGGCAAGTTTTTTTTCCCCCGATTTTGATATTTTTTACCCTGAAATCATTTATTTTTCGGTATTATTCAGCGAGGATATTTTTTACAATTTTTGATGTTGCGTGCAAACAATCCAGTTATTTTTAAAGAGGGGGAGGGGGGGGTATTATTTTTATAGAAAATATTTACCCCTTACTAATCTATTCTGTATGTACATTGTACACAGGCTGGAGGTTTGAGTCTAGCTGCAGTGTGGAGTGTACAGCAGGATCTAGTAATTATCTCGGAGCATCGTGTACAGGAGAATATTTTCTCCGTGTCAGCTCATCTTGTCCGTATGTCGGACTCGGAGAATGACTCAGACTGAAAACCAGAAAAAAAGTTATCGCTGAGCCAAAGCAATGGGTTGTAATCCATACACAGGGGTCTGTGGATTTCTTGTACGGGTAAAAGTATTTTTTGATGTTCAAGTTTTTATTAATCAAAATCTTTTATTATTATTATTATTAACATTCAACCTATAGTCAAAGAATCATGATCCTCAAGGACAATGATTCTCCGAGCTCCAGCCACTTCCCCTTGTCTGCCTGGGTTATAATGGATCACATCGGGTTTGAGTCTGTTAGGATCCAGTGTGTATGCCCGATATGTGAGGAGGCCTAAAAATGCTTTAAATAGCATTCCTGAACAGTACACACGTCTGTTTAAAATTTATCATAATGGTATTAACAAATGAGAATCTAACTAAGGGGTAACCCTAAAGGAATGTCACTAGTAAAACTTTTTTAGGCATCCTCTTTAAATAAATAATCCATATTTGGTTTACCTTTGGGTTCTGAAATCTTACTAGGAGAACACTAAGTGTTGGCGCACCACCGTCCCTGATTTATTCTCGAGTCCATTTTTTATTTTTACACCCATCAATGCGTAAATGAGTAAATCAGGTTTAGCTGGACAATATACCATGGGTCAGTTGCCAATTCTATTTATTTTAATGAAAAAATACTTAATTCTGCCCATTCTGAATGATGTGTTTATTGCGATGGTTCGTGAGTTGCTGTTAGCCATTTTTCTATTATCTTCCCCAGCCTTTTACCTCTTTCTAATAGTGATTTCCCCTTTGAACCATCTTGGCCAAGGTAATTCCGTAAAATTCGTGCATTTGATATTGTGCCTTTGGCCTTTTGTGTAGCCAAATAGTTTGATATTTTAAGCTCACGTCTGACTGTGGCTACAGCAGGACATTCAAATATTACATGTGATTCTGTTAGTTTAATATGAAGTCCAAAAATTTCGCAGTGTGGGCAAAACTCATATTTAAATCCATATCGGTTTTTGTACCGGTTGCCTAATTGCGCATTACCCCCCCTGACTTGGCATAAAACCTTACTTGCTTTTGAATCATTAACGTGGCCATGCATTTTAAACCAGTTCCAAGGCTGGGGGGCTGTATTTAAAGTAGAATGTTGCCTTTTAACATTCAATACAAATGCCACTGCTTTGTTTGTTAAAGCAGCTTGTAGGTGTGATTTCTTTTTAAAATTAACAATTAACCCTATTTGTGATTCAATTTTCATCCATGATTTAGTGTAAGGATCCTCAGGGTATTCTAATGACTGTCTTAAAATTTTTAAAAGGGTCGGATTCCGTTTTGTTTTCAAAATATTATAAATAAACAGAGCTTGTTTGTTAAGAATCCTATATTTCATAGGCATTAATCCAGCATCTATCCAAGCTAATGCTCGTGACGTTGAAGCTGGAACCTGTAGTATAAACCTCCCAATCATATTTTGTATACGTCCAGCCCCATTACTGTACTCTTTTTAATAGTTAATGCTTCCACACAGTACAAAATTGATGGTATTGCGCATGTCTCCCATACTCGTTTAGCTATTAACGCCCTATCTAGTCCCCCCCTTGTTAGATTCATAATTGTGTATGCATAGCTCATAGCTCTTTTAATCATTATCTCTTCATATTGGCCAATTATATTCCTTCCTCTTAACTGTATTTTAACCCCTAAATATTTTGCGACCAATATTTCCTCAATTGTTTCTGAATTAACTGACCAATTAACATCATACGTAGCATTTGAGATAATATATGTTTTACTGGTTGCTAAAGTCATTTTCATATCCCTGCAAAACATACACACAACCCTTAACAGTTTATTCATTCCGATCTTTGGTGTACCCGAAATCAGTACAAGGTCGTCTGCAAAAAACAATGCCGTAACCAATTCGTCTCCTATTTTGACTCCTAACTTAGTATTATGCAACGCCGTTCCCAAAGTTGAAATATACAAGGCAAATAATAGGGGGGATAATGAGCACCCTTGTTTAACCCCTTGCGTGAAATACAATGGAGCTGAAAGCCCGTGGGTTAAGCCCACTCTAACCGAATCATTATAGTACATACTTCTTATGAGCGAAACTACCCTTCCACCAAATCCTATAAATCTCAATTTAGTGTATAAAAGTTCCCTGCACACAGAATCATATGCTTTAGCTATATCACAAAAGGCAATTGAAATTGTTTTGTGCTTGCGTCTGGCTTCCTTTATAGCATTAATTATGATAAACACACAATCTGTTGTAGACCTTTGTTTGCGAAAGCCATACTGGACAATACCATAAAGATTTTCTCTTTCACAAATTAAATTCATGCGTTCATGAAGCAGTTTAGTAATACGTATTTTAATTTATAAATAAAACTTAATAAGTTAATCTGTTTTAGCGGATGTAAGATATGAAATTGTTGAGCCTATAAATAACCTTTCTTACAAATCCGCCAAATATTTTATTAAAATTCGCAATTTTTTTTTAACTTTAAGTTTCTTTGAAAATGTAAAAATACAGCGGGATGATCTTGTTTTTGAAACATGTCACCATGTAAACTGGGCAGCACTAAAAGTGTGATATACACTCCATGGATTCAGATACTGTAAGTTTAATGGGATTGTTTCAAAAAAATTATTCAAATTAACAAATAAAATAAAGGTTTTTAAAATATTTTTAGAGTTTAATTTTAAAACGTTTATAATTTTTCAGGCGTTCAAATGGTTGCCCGTGATCCTGATATCCGCTATATTAGTTTGGTCTTATTACGCATACGTGGTACATCTGTGTATTCTGACAATATCAGAACCATGGGTCAGATATATCCTTCTAGTCCTTTACCATATACTCTTCATACTCTTCCTCTGGTCTTACTGGAGAACGGTCTGGACTAATCCAGGACCAGTACCTTCAAGATTCAAGTAGGTTTATATCCTGATATATCTAGATTCAAGTAGGTTTATATCCAGATATATCTAGATTCAGATAGGTTTATCCAGATCTATCTAGATTCAAGTAGGGTTATATCCAGATATATCTAGATTCAAGTAGGTTTATATCCAGATATATCAAGATTCAAGTAGGTTTATATCCTGAGTTAGATATTGATATTATCCAGGGAGAATTGAAAACATTGAGCTATATTTTGAATATTGACATTATCCAGGGAGGATTGAAAACCTAGAGTTAGATATTAAAATTATCCAGGGAGGATTGAAAACATAGAATTAGATATTATTATTATCCAGGGAGAATTGGAAACCTTGAGCTTTATATTGATATTATCCAGGGTGGATTGAAAACCTAGAGTTTTATATTATTATTATCCAGGGAGGATTGAAAACCTTGAGTTAGATATTATTATTATCAAAGGAGGATTGAAGACCAAGAAAATATGTTTAGATTGACACGTGATGAACTGGAGAACCTGGAGAGTACAGAGAGTGATGTTGAACAAAGAAGAATTCTTGAACAAGTTGTTATAGACAAGGATCTACCAGTAGCTATGAGAACTATTCAGGTAATATAGACAAGGATCTACTAGCTATGAGAACTATTCAGGTAATATAGACAAGGATCTCCCAGTAGGATCTACCTGTAGCTATGAGAACTATTCAGGTAATATAGACAAGGATCTACCAGTAGCTATGAGAACTATTCAGGTAATATAGACAAGGATCTACCAGTAGCTATGAGAACTATTCAGGTAATATAGACAAGGATTTACCAGTAGCTATGAGAACTACTCAGGTAATATAGACAAGGATTTACCAGTAGCTATGAGAACTATTCAGGTAATATAGACAAGGATCTACCAGTAGCTATGAGAACTAGTATTCAGGTAATATAGACAAGGATCTACCTGTAGCTATGAGAACTAGTATTCAGGTAATAAAGACAAGTATCCACCTGTAGCTATGAGAACTAGTATTCAGGTAATATAGACAAGGATCTACCAGTAGCTATGAGACTATTCATGTAATATAGACAAGGATCTACTAGCTATGAGAACTATTCATGTACCTACTGCCTGTAGCTATAAGAACTATTCATGTTGTATAGACAAGGATCTACCTGTAGTTATAAGAACTATTTATGTAGTATAGTTAAACTCAAATTTAAAACCTTCAAATTTATAAGTTGTACAATGTACATATTGAGTTTAATCTATGTGGCTAATCGCTCTAACGACCAAAAGTTTTCGTCTCAAGACTAGGTTCTCATTTTTTTTCCAATAATAATCGTTTCGATTAAAAACATAGAAATACATTTTTATATATTTTATATTTAGGGTTCAGTAAGATATTGTGATAGATGTAGTATTATAAAACCAGACCGGGCACATCACTGTTCAGTTTGTGGCACTTGTGTTCTGAAAATGGATCATCACTGTCCTTGGGTAAGTTATCACCCCCTCCTTCTTACGGGGGGGGGAGTCGTTTTGTATTTGTTTTTAGTTTGTATGAAATAAGGATATAATCGTTGTTTATACAATTTCTTACAGGAACTATGAAGGTCAAATTCCAAGCAACCCGCCATTTGTAAATGGGCGGGCAACGGGCATGTCCTTGTGTCCTTTAAACCTCTCTCCTGGTTCCCTTAAAACCTTTGTCCGAGTAAGGACGTGGATATCCATATTCTAATAACAAAAAATTGAGTTACGGAATACAGGTTACAGCGTACGGTAAGATCCATGTTAGTGTATTTGCGGTCTCTGAACTTGTGTAAATTGAACAATATATGCCACTCTATAATTAAAATTATGTCTGCCCCTTTTTTATTGATTAATAAATATATATTTCCTTTAAAAAGACATTTTGTTTGTTTAGGTGAACACCTGTGTAGCGTTCCTCAACTACAAGTTCTTTGTTCTATTCTTGTTCTACGGGTTCATCTACTGTATCTTTATCTCTTTGTCCGTTCTCAAATACTTTCTACAGTTCTGGGCGAGATCTTTCGAGTCAACAGGTATATTGTCAAATCAAAGCAAATATTAAAAATTTAACTAAGGAAAAAGATATTTCTTGATCAACGTTTCGATTAGGGATTGTAATTGAAGATTCCCATTGGTGGTACTCAGAAAACTTGTATTATTGATCCTCTATAAAATATCATAGATCATTCAGAGATCGTAATAATGCGAGTCCGCTGTTCTTCTTGTATTACGCACTTGATCGCTTCAAATTAAAAGTTTTTGTTGTAAAACTGGAATATGTTTGATTGTGGAAATATGTTTAGGCCAGAGTAAGTTCCATATTCTGTTCTTGTTCTTTGTCTCCTCAATGTTCAGTATCAGTCTCTGTTCTCTTCTCTGCTATCATATACATCTTGTTCTCAATAACAGGAATAAACTACATTTTATTCTTAACATCTAAACCATCAATATTTGGCCAGAGAACGAATTTAAAGAATTTGAGTGCCGGCTTAAATTTAAGCCGCGGCTTAAATATGGTTGGTTCCACTTAAAATTGTATCAAATAATTCAAGATTTAGGCTGACGCTTAATTTAAACCGGGTTTTGGCAGATTTAAGCCGCGGCTCAAATTCTTTAAATTCGGCCTCTGGAGACATAACACACATAAATAAATTAAATTTTAAAAAAAAATTTTAAAATGGTTTTTACAGAACTACGTTGGAAGCCTTCAGATCTCCGGTATTCAGGTAACCTATTTTAAATGTTTTGAAAATATTTAGAATAAAAACTTATTAAAATAAAGGATTATTTTTCTAGACGAGGCCCAGATAAGCTTGGTTTTAGTCTTGGTAAACTTGGAAACCTGCAGGAGGTCTTCGGAGACAATTGGAAGGTAAACTCCTTGATTAGTTGACAATATTAACCACTAAATTGGAAGGTAAACTCCTTGACTAGTTGACAATATTAACCACTAAATTGGAAGGTAAACTCCTTGA